ATTTCAGCTCACTAAGATATCGATGTTTATGCGTTCCATTTCATTTTTGACAACTTTCAATTTTCCCAGATTCATACTTCGTACATTCCATATTCTGATTTTCAATGGATGTTTACAGCTGTTTCTCTTCATTTTGAGTTGTGCCCCATCAGCAAATGAAGGTTCTTTGGGCTTTTCTCCCAGGAGCTTTACTCCATTCATGTCATCATGGTCAACTCTACTTTGAGGAGGCATCTCTTCCCCAGGCACATTTTGAGTGCCTTCCAACCTGAAGGGCTCATTTTCTGGCACTGTATCTGACAGTGTTTCTCTGCTATTCATAAGGTTTTCAGTGACTAATAATTCGGAAGTAGTTCATCACTCTTTATCCTAGTCTGTCTTTGTCTGGAAGCTCATCTGAAACCTGTCCACCATGGGTGACCATGCTGGTTATTTAAAATACCGGTGGCATAGCCCTCAGAATCACAGCAACTCAAGCCACCACAACACGACAGATAGATGAGTGGTGGCTGTTTGGTTTTATGCCAAAACTGTCACTAATATGATGTTATCATATTAGGCAAATATTCTTCATAAGACCTCTTAAAGAATTCAAGAGCAAAAATGTCAGTTTGAGATCTTAGGTGCACCTGACTCAAGCCATGGAATTTTCAGTGACCTCATATGCATGTAAAAGTTTGACAATGAATAAAGAAGACAGGTGAAGTGATACATTTGAGTTATGGTGTTGGAGGACAATATTAAAGGTACTATGACCACCAAAAGAACTGTGTTGGAAGTATAGCCAGATGCTCCTTAGAAACCAAGATGGCCAGACTTCGTCTCATACTTTGGACATATTATTAGGAAGGACCAGTCTCTGGAAAAGGATATTATGCTTGGTAAAGTCGAGGGTCAGTGAGAAAGAGGGAGACTCCCAATGAGATGGATTGGCACAGTGGCAGCAGCAATTGTTCAAGTGTAGTAGCGATTGTGAGGTTGCTGCAGGACTGCGCAGTGTTTAGTTCTGTTGTGCATAAGGTTGCTATGAGTTGGTAATGACTTAATGGCACCTAATGACAACAACAACTTGTATATTCAGGGAATAGAGAACATTTTCATGTCCTTTTACACTTTGAATCATCTGTCCAGGGGAATGGTGATGGGGATAATAGTTAGAATTGGTTATTTTGGAAGAATCATAGAATGAGAGGTCAGGAAGGAAACCACAAGTACTTTTAATTTTAAGCCATATTTCGCTTTCAACAATGTTAAAATGTGAATAAAAAGTGTTCATCTTGGATCAGATGAAATGTACTAAGTCCAACATTTCTTAATCAGACTTTAGCCAGATTTGTTTATGAAACAAGTCCTGTAGGACTTCTCAGAACACTTGGTAATGTGTATTGCAAGTGTTTACAGAAAGTGAAAACGTATTCTTTCTAAAATGGTTTTCTTCAGTCCTCTCTGTTATTTTCCTTGTGGTACAAGTATATATGACAAAACATTTGTTAAGTCAACATTTTTTACAGGTTTAATTCGCTGGCATTGTTCAAGCTCATCATGTTGTACAACCATGACCACTATCATTTTCTAAATCACTTCACTACCACCACACAATGTGTTCTTTGACCTACTTGGTGAGGCATCGACTCACCTACACAGTGGCCATTTCTTTTCTATCCTGTGTCTCCTCTTCCTTGTGAGCAGGACACTCACTTCCCACCAACAAGACTGAAAATGCCAAATACTCAATTTCCCAGTATTTGTACCAAAGGTATGGCATGTATTTCTTGGTTCTGGCCACTGGGAAGTTTGCTGAGAGCTTCTGGGGATGTTTTTCTGGTTGAAATAGACACATATAGGGAAATTACTTTCCTGTGTTTTGATATGGTTGTCTGAGGATATGGTGCCTGGAACCACAGCAGTCTTTTGCAAACATGAGGGGATACACTTGAGGAGAAAGCTAACATGCTAAGGATGATAGGGTGAAAAGATATAAAGAACTTGGGCTCCCAAGGCATCACAAAGTCCTGCACCTATATTTTAGGGTTTAAGTAACTTTGAATGGGGAGCTCTTTGTTGTCATCCTGATAAGAGTGGATCAGCTGGTCTCTCCAATCAGTGTTCAATGGCTGCTCAGCTCCACTAATGGTAATCGTGTGTCCTCTTCAGAGCTATTTCTTCAATGATGAGATGGGGACAATAATGGCTGTACCAGGAGTTCTGGTGTGGCACTGTGGGTTAATGCGCCAGACTGCAAAGGCTGTTTGAACTGCAAGGTCAGCAGTTCAAGCTCACCAGTTGCTCCTTGGAAACCCTATCCAGGATTGCTACCACAACCTGGGACTTTAATGAGATGATGGGTATAAAGTCCTTCACACAGAATGTGGCATATAGTTGGTGTTCATCAATGAGGAGTTATTACTGTTGATCACAAGATTTCTTTGCTGTCATTGTTGAAACATCCATCCACATCACAGCTGTGTGCGTTCTGCAGGAAGTAATCTGTGAAGTGCTCACCTCTTTAAACGTTCTCATTTTACGGAATAAGTTGAGGCCAAAGGAGTGGTCCCTTTTATTTTGAAAAAATGATCATGTTGCAGCCTTTTTCTATTTCACTCATTTCCACTCACACTAGAACACAACAGAAAGACACGGGTCTGGGTTGAAATGATGTGCTTTTATGGGAAACAAAAATATCCAACAACAACAAAAGCCCTTCAATCTCGCCAAGTTCTTAACCAGTGACAATGAGGCAGTTTTGATGATTGTGTCTGGCTGGGGACATTTCTAAAGGGTCAGGATAGTTGAAAGACATTGGCTAAAAAGAGAAGTTTCAGGGAGGGTAGATATGTTAAGTGAAAGCATATGAGACCTCCCTTCTGGCCCCTCATCCCATCACCCTTTAACTTCCAGTATCCAGTCTTTTCTCAGTTTACAGAAGATCCTTCTTGAATTTTTCCCAAACACAATTTCTTTCAGAAAGCTCTCCTGGTCTGCAAACCGCTGCATAGGTCTTTCTAGCAATGCCACACTTTCTCATGCCCTCTCCTATCACTTTCTATCTTATATCCGTTGAGTTTGGGCACATGTCTTACTTACTGTACCCACTATCAAGAGGACCACGCTGATTCATCTCAGTGTTTGCACCCCCCTTCCCACTTCAGTGCTCAGTATACAGCAGGTGCTCAGCATCAGCAAGTGCTCTGCGAAGGTTTGTCGAATTGCATGCAGTTCTACATTTGCTGTGTCACATGACCAGCCTCTTGAGAGCCACTATTACATCACTTGTACTTCTTCACCTTCCTCCATGACCTCCAAGTGATCTGCCTTAGGTGACTCTCTGAAGGAACAGCCCACCTAACAAGCATCACCTCAGGGTTGAGGGTTTGGAGAGAGGAGGAGAGAAGGTGAAGCTTTTCACTCCTGCTCCAGACAGCAGGAGGCACCAAGGAATTCCAGGATGATCACCAGCAATGCTGACCAACCCTTCATGATGGAATCCCACAAGCAGTACTCTTCCAAAAGTAAGAGCCCCGTAAACAAGGCCATCTTTGCAGAGGGGGCTGAGGGTTGGCAGAGGACTGGTACAATTGCCCTTGGGCCCAGGAACCAAGAGGCACAGACCTAAAGCCTTTCTTCAGGATGTGACGTACGTCACCTCTAGCAGGGCAATTAGAGGTTGTCTGTCTAGTTGTTCAGTTGGAGCTATAATGGGAACATAAGCCCTGTGGTGTGTTGAGTTGTCAGGCACATAGATTGTAGTAAGGCTGAAGAATATAGGCTGCAGGAATGGACCTCTCCTCGAAAGACAGAAGTGTCAGGAAGTGCTGGGAGAAGTGAGGGAGAGTAGGGTCCAGGTGGTTCTGCAGCTCCAATTCCAACAGGTGCCCTCCTCTATTCCCCACCCCAGTTCCCTCCCCTTTTCTCTGCTCTCCAAATTAGGGCCAGAGAGGCCAGGCTATGGGGCCATTCAGAAGTGGGGGAGGGAACACAAGGGCCTTTTTTCTTTTTCTACCAGGAGTTCTAGATGTGGACAAGGGAGAGGGAAGGATAAAGGGCAGAAAGAAGAGAGTTACAGAGCTGAGGAGAGGCCAAGGCCCTGTTCACTTCTGTTGACTGGTGTGACGAGTGGATCTGACCCCATACTTGTAAGTCTGTGACCACATCACCCCCAGAGAGCACTGACCACCTAGTTGGGGGTGATGAGAAAGTTCTTCATGGTTCTCAAAGGTGCTCTGTGACTTTGGGTGATCCCTATGGATCTCCTTTGGGGGGGCCCCTCTGGGGCCAATAAGGTGTGAAAACTGCATGGTCAGTATCAGCCCTGGAAACCTGGGACAAAGGGCCAAGAAGCAGAAAGAAGAGAGACTTCTTCAGGCACCTCTAGGAAAGAAGAGTTGGGGATCAGGGGACTTGAGTTAGGACAGATGTTTCCATATAAAAAGAACCCCCAGTAAAAGGGCAGGAGTCCCCCTCAAATCCCTTCCCAAACTCCACAGCACTTAGAAAAGAGAAGGTAAAGAGCATCAAAATATTTCGATGACATGGGCTCGCCTGGCAGTACAGACAAGCAAGTCTCATGGCAGGCAGTGTGTCCCATTACATAAGAGAGGACTATACATATATCTTTATATAAATGCATATATATTTATAGAGCCTCCGCCTAGAACAGCCGGGCTTGCTTCTTCAATTCGTTCCTCTTCCAGAGGGCCAGCCGGTCAAACTCAGAGATGGTCATGCCAAAGACTTGGTAGAACTCTTCCTGGGACAGATGGCGCTGAAAGGAGGTGGGAGAAGACAAAGGGAGAACAGCATGAGGATGGGAGGTGAAGGCTGGTGGGTGGTGGAGGCAGGTGTGGGGCCTGGGGAAGGCTTGCGATAAGTATTTGCAGGATGAACAATTGGGTGAATGAGTGTCTCCTGGGAGAGAGGCCTCTGCAGGGCCCTGACTCTCTGTGGCTTCCTATTTTGGCGCCTCCATTGCCTAAAGGCATGCTTTGCCTAAGCTTATGGCCTACCTCACCTTTCTTCATCCTTGCCCCAGGCATTTTGAGTCCAAAACCAAATATGGAACAATGCTATCCTATTCCTTTTTGGGAGGAAATGGAGGTATTTTCAAGACTGCAGGATGCGTTTTCTCTTAATTAATATTTTTTACAAATGGCCTGGGAGGCTGTTCCTCAAGACCGACCATGAAATCATTACTGTTCATAGTTCTCCACCACTGTTACGTCCTTTCATCTCTTACACAAAAATAAGTAAACATAGGATCAAACATTGTTCACTGTTGATCAAATAAAGTTCTGCATGCCAGGAGAGGTTTCTCTGCCCTTTATTTCCTCCTTCCCTCCCTCCTTTTTCAATCAGCCTGGTAAGTGTGATATATTGTCAACGCTATTAGTGTGAGAAATGCATGGCAGGCACTAAAGATACAGCAAAATGCTAAGAATTGGTGCACCTGGTGACGGTACATGACCCCTGGTGTGGTGTTGTAGGATCAGCATTGGACTGTGATCCACAGGTCAGCAGTTCAAACCCACCAGTTGTTCTTTGGAAACTCTACGCAGTGTTGCTATGCGTTGGAACCAACTCTATTGCACTTAACAACAACAGCTAACTTCCCATTGTACTATTTTTGCAACTTTTCTGGAAGCTTGATATTTTTCAAACTAAAAAGTTAAAATTAAGTTTAAAAAGAGAAATGTCATGCATACAGCCTGTCTGTGCAAACTTACTGGGCTTACTGCTCTGACCTGTTAGTAGCAGTTACATTAGCAAGCTGGTAGGAGATGCATTGAGGGTCATGTATAAGTCACCCAACACATAGCTAGTTGTCTGCCTACTGTCTCTGTGACCCAGTACTTTGGTCATAATTTCACAACTTCAAGCAAAGGTAACTTTGACACTTTTGATAGGTATCTCTGGCTCCTGGTGACTTTAACTCAATTTATTTAAAGCCTGTTGCTGTTGACTTTGACCTATAGTGACCTCACTGTATGTCAGGGTAGAACTTTGATCGATAAGTGCTTTTAGTGGCTGATTTTTCAGGAGCAGATTGTTAGGTCTTTCCTCTGAAGTGCCTCTGGATGGACTTGAACCTCCAACCTCCAGGTAGCAGCTGAGCTCATTAGCTGTTTGTACCACCCAGGGACTCCCTTTAATTCTTACCAGTACTGATTAACACCAACAATTCCTTGCTGCATTTCTATTACACTCAGTCGTCTTTAACTGCATTTGTATCCTCTTTTTTCTCAGTTAAGCTTCTCTACCACTCTGAAAACTAAAAATTATTTTTATCCAATTTCATAAGAAAATCAATACTCAAGAGAACTAAAACTACATACTTGGCCAAGAGGGAAAAAGGGAAGGAAGACAGGTTAGTAGCGGAACTGAGAGTAAAGCCTAGATCTCTGATTCCAAATACTCTCTGCCCCTGTGGTCTGGCCCATAAAAAAAAAAAAAAAAAAAAAATCATAACCAAGTCTTTCTATTATGGAAATTTTCAAAAATACACAAAACTAGAGAAAACAGTATAATGCACAACCATGTACATTACTCAGATATAGTAATTGTCAAGTTTGTCTTGAGAATTTTGCCAAGATCCTCTTACTTCATTTATTTCCTTTCTTGCTTTCTTTGCTGAAGTGTTTTAAAGCAAACCCTAGACACTGTGTCATAGGAGCCCTGGTGGTGCAATGGTTAAGCACTTGACTGTTAACTGAAAAGCTGGCAGTTTGAACCCACTCAGCTGCTCTGTGGGAGAAAGACCTGGTTATCTGCTCTTGTAAATGTGACCGCCAAGAAAACCCTATGGGGTTTTCTACTCTGTCATATGGAGTTATTGTGAGTATTTGAAATAGACTCGATGGCACTTAACAAGAGATACACTATGTCAAGTCACCCCCACTTTCAGATGTATCTTACAAATACTTGTCCACACAATTCCATGAACACAACAAAATTTCCCTAATTGCCACAAAAATGCATTTTTAGAGTTGGTTCATTTGAGTAAGGAGTCAAAGAACATCCACTTACACCATTTTGTTCTTAAGACTGTCAAGTTTCTGCCAGTCCAGATAGTGCCCCTCTTCTTTCATGCCATCGACTGGTCCATATTTGTTTTACTTTTACACATGTGAGTGCTGAAAAAATGCTTTGTGTAGGAGGGCGTTCTTCCCTCTGGCCCTTCCATACTAAAGACTGAGGGAAACCGTAATGGAATTACATTTTGCTAATGGTTACTATTGGTTCTTCAGCTGGTTTCCTCTAATGTGCTCAAACCCTTTTTTACGAGGTTTGATATAAGGTAGTGGTAGATGAAGCCTAAGGAGCCTTGGTGGCACACTGGTTAAGTGCTTGACTGCTAACCAAACAAGTGATGGGAGAATTGACTTTCAATCTGCTCCCTACAAAACCCTATGGGGACAGTTCTACTCTGACATATAGGGCTAATGTGAGTTGGAATGAACTTGATGGCACATAACAACAGATTCAGCCTAAGGAGCCCTGGCGGTACAATGAATGCTGATCTTTTTAGGAGAAAAGCCCTGGAGATCTGTTTCTGTAACAAAGAGAGCTGAGAAATCTTATGGAACAATTCTACTCTGTCCTACATGGTCACTGTGAGTCAGAATAGATTCAATGGTTCAATCAAAACAACAGATGATGCTGAAAGGACACTTGAACTTCTCTCCCTCCTCTGTGGGCTAGCTCAAGCCTTTTTTCTCTTCCAACTTCTTAGATACCTAAAGCCAGCCTGTTCATTTTACATTCACACAGATGTCACAACAGAAAGATTAAGGGTACAAGCAGACATGGGCATGTGACCTAAGCCAAGTTAATTGCCTCAGCCTCCAGTTCTTAAAAATCAGAGCATTTCAGTACCCGCCTCCTGGGTACTGTGAAGGTGAGTGAGATGAGTGTGTGGTGAGCACTCGGTTGTGGGTCACTATCACTACTGTCATGTGGCTGGTATGTAACCCCCCTCAGCTCAGAATCTACCATGGTCCCTTGTTTCACTCAAGGTGAAGTCTTGGGACGCTTGTGATCTGATCCCTTTCCCTCTGACCTCACCTCCTCCGTCTTCCTCTGCACTCATTTAACCCAGCCACACTGCCTCCTGCTATCCCCAAATACACCAGGCCTGTCCTTGGTAGGGCCTTGCCACTGGCTGTTACTTCTGCCTCAAATGTTTTTCTTGGATTATATAAAAGACCAAACCAGTTACCACTGAGTTGATTCCAATTCCTAGAGACCCCATATGTGTCAAAATATAACTGGGCTTTATAGAATTTTTAATACCTGATTTTCTGTAAATAGATTGTCACGCCTTTGTACTGAGTATTTCTAGGAGGACTTGAATCTCCAGCCTATCTTTTAGCCATCAAATGAGTTGAGTCAAAAACCTATATGAGTTACTGAGGGACTCTTTCTTTTTATGTAAGTAAGGCTGACTTCCTCACCTAGTTCAACTTTTTACTCAAATGCCATGCTTGTAATGAAACTTTCTTTGACCCCCAATTTAAAATAACTTGTTCCTCTACCTAACTCTAGCACCCCCAACTCTGCTCTCCTTTTCCACAGCACTCATTACCATTTAGCATGCTATTGTTGTTGTTGTTGTTGTTAAGTGCCATCGAGTTTGTCCCAACCCAAAGTGACCCTGTATAAGATTTCCAAGGAGCAGCTGGTGAGCTTGAACTGCCAACCTTGTGGTTTAAAATGACTTTGCAGTCCAGCACATTAACCCACAGTGGCACACCAGGACTCCCTACATATTGCACCCCAAACTCAAACCCAGAGCCATGAAGTCTATTTCAATTTACTACTGTAAAGACTGTAAATCTTTACAGGAGCAGACAGCCTCATCTTGCTCCTACAGAGTGGCTGGCGGGTTTGAACCAGAGACTTTGTGTTTAGAAGCCTAATGCCTAACTCGCAGCACAATCAGAGTTTCTAGCATCATTTATTATCAATGCTTTTTCCTGCCTGTCTTCTCATGATTGAATACAAGCTGAAGGGGTCTTTGCCTGTTTTGTTCATGGATATTTCCTAAGCATCTTTAACAGTACTTGACATATATACATATGAAGGAGCTTCAAAAATTTGGTGGAAAAATATTATAATTCTATATTTCCATGTCTCTTTGAAATCTTTTTGTAATAGGTTTTCTCAATAAGTATGTGTTGGTTGGATGAATGTCTATGCTCTTAGTTCCCCAAGGACAGATTCAGGGTCTCCTTCCTTCAGTCCCCTCCCTAGTACAGGGATCTAGGGCAATGCCTGCAGCCCAGTGGCCTCAGCTCTGATCATACATTAGGGTTCCCTGGGGAGCTTTAAAACTGTGAATGCCTGGACCACGTCCTTGTAGTGTGATTTAATTGGTCTTGGTGAGGCCTTGTATTGGTGTCTTTAAAGAATGTCCTTGGGTGATTCTGGTGCTCAGGGAGAGTTGAACTCCTGGGTGTCCTGTAGGATGTAGGAGAACAGGTAGGATCAACCAAGTGCTGAACCATTTCCCAGCTCTTAGTCATGGTTCCTTGGCTGGCTGTGGGAGCTGTCCCTTCAGCACTGCAGACACTGACTGATAGTGAAAGGAGGGCCTTGTTATGAATGTGGGACAAACCATTCACTTTCTTAATCTGTTACCCCAGTATCTAGGGCTGGAAAGATTCCCAGAACTTCTTGTCCCCTCAGAACCTCCATCATCTGTACCAACCATCTACACCAGTTGCTTTAAATTGATCTGACCCCTGATAATCCCATGGGTGGCAGAGTAGAACTGTTCTTTATAGGTTTTCAATGACTAGATCATCAGGCCTTTCTTCTTAGGTGCCTGTTGGTGGATTTGAACCTCCAACCTTCCAGTTTAGTAGCCAAGGATGTTAACTGTTTATACTACCCGGGGATTCCTGGTTCCCAACTCTCTACAAGTCAAGGGTGACTCCTCTGCCCTTCTCAAGGGGTACCATCTTCATTAAGTAGCCTGTATTTGACATCACAGACATTTCCTGACAGACACCTCTTCCAGTGTAGGCCCAGTGGTTGATGTCGATGATGGACAATCTTTACCCCTAAAAAGTCCAGGGACCTGTAGAGGAACTGAATTAGCTGATGATCAGATACAAAGGGAGTGAGAGGTGCTTGATCTGCACCTGGACACCCTGGGAAGACTCATTATGAGGAGGTGGTGAAGGAGGATTGGGCCACAAGGATCATGGGAGTGGATCCCTGAGATGGGCAGGGTGTTCTATGGAGAGGGAGAGGCAAGGCAGAGGTTCTATGGTGTGAAGGGCCGAGTGTGCTCATGGTCAGAGGGGACTAGGAACTGGTGCTCTACACCAAGTGGACTGAATTGCTAGTATGCCCTAGTGGCATGCTCAGACCCACCCCTGGGCCTTGATGCTGTTCCTATTGCTTGCAATGCTCTCCTCCCTCTGGCCATTTATCCAACTCTGCTCACTTTTAAAGTTCAGCAAATCATTCCAAAAGCCAATGTCCATCAATCCAGACCTTTGTGGTCCTTTCTGAATAATAACAAGCTAACATTTATTGAGCAGAGCATAGTGGTTATGAATCAGGCTGCTAATCTCATGGTCAGCAGTTTGAAACTACCAGCTGTTCTGTGGAAGAAAAAGAAGGCTTTCTGCTCCCACAAAGATTTATAGCCTCAGAAACCCTATATAGGGTCATTATGAGTTGAAACCGACTCCACGGCACATAACAACAACAATATGTGCCTAGTCAATGCGAAGGGTTTTAGGTGCACAGATTCATTGAATTTTTTTGGCAACCCACTCTACAGAGGTGAAAACTAAGGATTAGGAGGTGGTCACTTGATCAAAGCTACCTGCCTTGTGATGGCAGAATAAAGTTTGAACATAGGTGGCTTTTGCACACCACTGCCTTCCCTAGCCTATCCTACCACACTCACTAGTTTTTAGTGCCACCCTGCAGACAACCAGTGCATTTCTTCTTATAAACCAGACTGTAAGCCTCTTGAGGGCAGGAGCCAAATCTAACTCTCCTCCTACGCGTACTGAAGCACCAGTCCAGGTGGGTCAATCTGTTGTTGTGTACCACAGATGCTAATTGGATTGAATAGGAGGCAGCATAGAATGTTGTTGCTGTTAAATACTGTTGAGTTGGTTCTGACTTGTAGGAATCCTGTATAGGGTTTCTGAGGCTGTAAATCTTTGTGGGAGCAGAAAACTTCATCTTTTCCCCAGAGAGCAGCTGTTGGGCTCGAACGACTGATATTGTGGTTCATAGTCCAGTGTTTATCCTACAGAGTCATCCACCACCCCACATAGAATAACACAAGGAAAAACCTAAGGTCCACATCTTGATTTTGTCTGCCAGCCCCAGTTTACCCCCTCCTCCTGTCCCACAAGTAGGTTAGACCAGGGAACCTCTGGAATCCCTTCAGACTCAAAACCTCCCACCTGTTTTTCTACACTCACCTCCAAACGAGTCCGGTCCACATCCTTGGGAAGTCTGTTTCTTCCTCTCGTGGTCACCAGCAGCAGTTCATAAGGGTAGATCTAAGGAGGAAGAAGTATTTCTAAGCTGAGTGAGGGTGTGAGCTTACCCCTTTCAGGTATGTTTTATGTCTGGGTCCCCTCCTCTATCTAGAAGAGGTCAGAGATTCAAGTCTGGAGGAATGTCTGGTTCCACCACCCTTAGGGTTGCCAAGCAGCCTGACAGCTTCTTCCAAAAAGCAAGGCCCCAGAGGCCCCCTAGTACTGCTAAGCTTGGTGGCGCTTGGCAGTAATGTGGGCACAAGGCCTCCAGAATATAAATGTCAGTATTTGGTAATTGGTGAGCCTCCAGAGAGTCCTTGAGACTCAAGGGACATGCCTGATCTCAGGAGTCAAGAGATCTAGGGCAGAATTCTTGGTGAAGGAGGGAAGAGAAATGTTAGTCTTGAAAGGACCCTTGGGAGTTACTTATCCTTGTTCTCTTCTTTGCATAGAAAGTGCCATCACCCACATGCTGGTTCCCATACTAGGGTCCTAGAGACCTCCAGGGTCTACATACAGCCTTTACCTTGTACTCTGGAGAGAGAAAAGAGAGAGACATACAGAACAGAAACCCATCAGTCTTTGCTTTGTATTCCTCTACTGGCCTCTGGCTCCACCCTTTCCTCTCATATGACCATCTAGGGTCCCTGTCCTGGCTGAATTCACCCTGCAGGATAATCAAAGCTGGTATGAGCATAACAGGTGGATCGAGTTAGGGGTTAGGTTGATGTGAAGATACAGGCCTCACACAACTTGATTTTAGAGATATTTAGAATAGAACTAGGAAGAATCTGTAACCCTGAAACCCAATGGGCAAGATCTTCCAGCTTTTGGAGGAATCCTCTTGGGGCTTTGGTATGGGCCTTTCTCCTGCCTGCTTATACAAGCTGGTGGAGATGGAGAAGTGGGCAGGAAGCTCACAGAATCATTAGTGAGAACAGTGTATTTGACCTGTTTCTCTCCACTGGGGCTGGCAGACAACTCTAGTTGAGCAGTACGGGGAAGAACGGCAGACTGATGGCTCTGGAAATCCAGATGGGACAATCACCCAAGGCCAGATATGAGAGGATAAGGGGAGCAGAGGGGTAAGGGAAGGAATGGGATGTGAGAGAGAAGGGGAACTAGGGGTCTGGACAGAATCTGCAGCCATTGTTGGTGGTAGGTGAGCAGAAGTGGTAAGTGGGGAATTCCGAAGTCTCTGTACCATCCCGGGGGCTCCTCCTGGCAGACACACAACCCGTACTCACCTCGCATGCCCCAGTTGACTGCATTCATACTGTCATAGTGGAAGAGGTCTGCGCTGGGTGTCTGCAGGGAGACAGAAGCCAGGTGGCTTGAAATGAGTTCACTGCTGTGCGTTAACATTCTCACCAACTCCAGAAAACAGAGCTGGGTGGGAGGGACCTGAGGCTTTCTCAGAAGCCCCAGTCTCATGTTGTTATTGTTAAGTGCCACTGAGTTGGTTCCAGCCCATAGTGCCCATGTATAGGGTTTCTGAGGAGCGGCTGGTGAGTTTGAAATGCCGACCATGTGGTCCAAACTGAACTTGAGGTTGAGTGCTTATCCTGCAGTGCCACACCAGGACTCTTATGTTTGGGTGATTTAACTCACCACCATATCCCTAGCAGAGTACCCACCACTTATGAGAGGGCTTCCAAAATTCATGGGAAAATGGAATTTTAAAATAATGGATTTTTTTCATCAACTCTTTTAAGTCCCTTGTACTTGTTGTTTGTTGTTGAGTGCCATCAAGTCAGTTCCAACTCAGTAACACTGAGGAGTGGCTGGTGAGGGTGAACTGCTGATCTGAGGTTCAAACCGACCTTGCAGTCCAGCTCATAAATATTAATTCATTTGGTGAATTTCATCTCATGCTTTCCCTTCACTGAAATGGATGGACAATGGCAGCAACAATGGGCTCAAACATAGCAATGATTGTGATGATGAGGCTGGATCCTGCAGTGTTTTGTTTGTTGTATGTAGGAGTCGCTATGAGTCAGTATCAACTCGATGGCACGTAACAATAACAAACCTAATGGGGCTCCAGTTTCCACTCCTGTCTCTCTGTGGTTTTCTTCTCCACATTAAAACCCTGAGTCAGTTTCTGGAGTCATGGAGCTTGGATGTATCCCTGAAATTCATTTATTGCCCTGAGACTATCTTTAAATCTTAAACCAAAAGTATTCCAAACATCATCTTAAAACCAAACTATAGTTTAGCTTAATTAATAAAGATTGTTTGCCTTGAGCCTTGTGCTCTTTTAAGAACTGTCTGCTGATGTTTTTAGATGCTGTTGAGTTGGTTCCCACTCTATCTACAAGCACCTATGCACAAGAGAAGAAAACACTGCTCTTTCTTGCACCATCTCATAATTACTGTTATATTTGAGGACATTGTTGCTGCCACTGTGCCAATCAATCTTGATGAAAGGGCGTCTTCCTCTTTTTGTTGATCCTCCACTTTACCAAGCATGATAACCTTCTCAAAGGACTGATCCCTCCTGAGAACATGTCCAAAGTACGAGAGACGTGGGCATGTGACCTAAGCCAAGTTAATTGCCTCAGCCTCCACTTTTTTTTTGAATGGGCACCAAATATGAATGGGTCTCTTCCAATTGGTCGGCCAGGTAGCTGAATTCCAAATTTTTTGGCATAGATGAAACTGACAACAGTTAGATGGGAAGCTTGATGGGGAGTGAGTTTATGTGACTGGAGGTGGCACAGTTCAGAAAAGGAAGTGGGAATGGTTGCACAACTTGAATGTAATCAATGTCACTGAATTGTACATGTAGAAATTGATGTTTTGCTATATATATTTCTAACAACAATAAAAAACAGAAAGAAAAAAACTTCTGAATACACCCTAATTGGATCACATAGTGCACCTGTTGGCAACTTCTGATGTCTGACCCAGTGTACCCCTCCCCAGCTTTGACTCACACCCTCTGCCCCAGCCACACTGGCTCAGGCCCTCTGTCCCCATCCCACCAGAGTCTTTTACACAATGCTTCCCTCCATCTGGATGGCTCCTGCAGATCTTCTCATGGAGTGGCCCCTCCTTTCACCCAGGCCTTTGTTTAGACTCAGCCTTCTCTGACCACCTTCTTCCTCTGCCCTCTTGCTTTGTGTCCCACCCTCACACTTATGAAGACTTGACGCCCTACTGCACACTCATTTGTCTGTCTTCCCATGGGAATGTAAGCTCTTTAGGAGCTGGCCGTCAGTCACCACAGCCTTCCCAGCGGTGGGAACAGTGCTCGCTATTAAGCACCTATCTCAACATACCTGCCCTTCCCTCAGGTCACCTGTACAGCCTATCTTGCTAACAAGAAGAGTTTGTCATTCCTTGGCAGTCCTTACCACACCCTCCTGCTTCCATGCAGGCATTGCATCACAGGTGATCAAAGAGCCCAGGAGACAACAGTGATGTTAGAGGCAAGTGGAGCATGGCAGCAAATGTGGGCTGTACAGTCAGGTGGCCTGGGTTTGAAGCCTAACTCTACTACTTACTGGGTGTCAGAGCCGGAGCAGATCACCTCACCTCTGTATGCCTTTATTTCTTCATCCACAAACTAGGGTTAATAATAGTAATCACCTCCCAGGGTTGTGAAGGTTAAATGAGCTCATGCATATCAAGTGCTTAGCACCGTTCCTGGCACATAGTAATTGCTCAGTATTGATCATTCTCCAGCCTCTCTCCTGGGGGCATTTTTCACACAAGGATAAAGGAGAGTAGAGTAAGTCACTAACATTCCATTTTTTCAGTTAACACACCCCGAGGCCAAAGGGTTCACCTATAAATAATCTTCAGAACAGCAAGCTAATACTGGGATTGTTAGCATCTTGGGGCAGAGTTCCCCAACAAGATCTTCCTTACCCTGTGTAGTCCATTTCTTCTGTAGGCAGGCAAGGAGGCTGATTTGGAGATGAGGGGATCTGAAATAAAGGGGACAGAGAAATCATCAGGAGCCCTGAGTCAGAAGTCCCTTGCCCTGAGGCCATCTGTCTACAAATGGCCAATATTACTCCGACCCTAGTGACAAGGGGTACAGCCAGAGACCAGCAGCAATTCACTCTACTCTCCACATTTGCAACTTGACTGTCTATGGGGAGCTTCACTCCTGTAAAACTCTAGGCCCACTGAGGCACCCACTCACTCTGTTCTAGCTTTGACCAGCACACATCTAACATCCTATGATGGGTTCCTTTCCTGGAATTGAAGTAAAAATCGGAACTCAAGTTCAGAACCCAGGCTCCCATATGGGTAAAAGAAACTTGCTCTCTCTCTCTGTCTCTCTTTCTCTTTTTCTGGGTTATTGACAAGGCAACTCTGGTTCCTGAACCAACCATTGGGGCCCAGAATTTAACAAAACCAGTAGGATGAAATCAGGACATGCTGGGACATCTATGTTGTTTGACCATCATAGCTACAGGAGAACTGCAGTGGACTCTGCTCTGGCCTTCACAGGACATGGTAGGGCTGAAGGTAGGGCAGGACATACCGCTGTCAGCGAGGTAGTGGGACCTAGGGGCTGCAACAGAGAAAAGCCAGAGGTCAGTCAGTGTTCATGGGGGCAAACAGACATGGTAGAGGACAGATAGCTGTGGTAACTGGGCATCCAGCTAGGTGGAGGGAGGGCTGCTTCAGGACCTCTTTTCCCATTGGTAAATTTCTGACTATTTTATCAGCATCCCTTATGATGCATTCCAAACCCCAGCACCTAGTACATGCCTGGTACATAGCAGGCATGTTCTGATTATTTGTTGCATGGGTACCATTGAGTGGTGCTGAATTTTGAACAACACCGGCACACTGCTCAGAACCCAGAGCCAGGACTGAAAATGGGGCCCCTTGATGCTCCAACAGGAAAACAGAATAATCTGCTCAGTCACTTAGTAGAGACCTGATTTCTCTGGTTGGCACAGCTATTTGCAATTGACTGCTGGTGCAGTGGCTAAACACTTGACTGCTAACCAAAATGTTGGCAGTCTGTGTCTATGAGTGGCTCGGCAGGAGAAAGAGGAATCATTTTGCTTCCTTAAAGATTGCAGCTTGATACAACCCTATAGAGCAGTTCTACTCTGTCCAGTTGGGTCACTATGAGCTGGAATTAACTTAAGGGCAATGGGTCTGTTTTGGTTTTGGCTAACCTTTGGTCTGAGCCCACTCAGTGGCTCCACGGAACAAATAACTGGTGATCTCAAACCCTATGGAGAGATCCATTCTATAACACGTAAGGTCACCATGAGTCAGATTCAACTGACTTCACACTTACTGGCTTTCTGGCTTTTGGAAAGTGATTTGACTTCAGTTCTCTCATCCATAAAATGTTGTTAAGTGCCATCGAGAAGGTTCTGACTCATAGTGGAAATGCTATACAGGGTTGCTATGGGTCTGAACCGACTTGACAGCACTTGGAAAACAACAGTGTTTCCCAGGAGCGGCTGGTGAGTTTGAACTGCTGACCTTGTGGTTCAAAACCAACCTTGAGGTCCAGTGCTTTATCCTGCAGCGCCACCCCAGGACTCCATTTTCAGAATAAGAAAATTAAAACCACAAATGCCAAGGTGGCAAAAAACGGAATGGAGGAATACAATATAGCATGCAGAAAGGAACAAGACAAAAAACAACATTAAAAGCAGCAGGAAAAAGGCAACTTTTCTAGCAAATGAGCAAAATGAACTTTTATTCCAAAAGTTAAGATAAAATGCCAAATGTTTAATTGGAATAAGGAAAGATGACAAATGTTCCTAAACAAGTGAAAAAGTAGGTGATAGCAATCTCTCTGCATTGTGGATCTTAGTGAGGACCAACGGTGATCGTATATATACAAATGTTTGGCACAGAGGAGTATGAAAAATAGTCTCTTCTATTACCTCAAATTGTCTGCCTTGAGCTCTTGACATCTCACCACCTCTATTGCTTAAGGATTTTCAAGTGGTCTTAGCATTGTCACCACCCCACTGTAAGAGTGGGCTAGGCTGGGCATCAGGATAGGACCCAGAAGATCCAGCCTTCTTGGCCTTCCGTCTGTGGTCTTCCTGGTACTCTGGTTGCTGTGTTTCTAGAACAGCCCTGGATGGATTATCTAAGCACCATGTCCTCTGTGCTAATGCTGTTAGCTTAAAGTACTCAGCATTGATCACAGGGAATCAACCAAACTGTAACTTATCACGGAGGTAGCAGACTACAGATTTTAATTATCTTTCTTTTTTTCCTGTACAGTATCTGAACTTTCTAAAATATGGTAGTGGATGTGTGGTGCCGTGGGTTAATGCGCTGGACTGCAAAGTGAGTTTGAACCACAAGGCCGGTGGTTCAAGCTCACCAGCTGCTCCTCAAAAACCCTATACAGGGTCGCTATGCGTCAGAACAGACCAGACAGAACTTAACAACAACAATAACAATAACAATAACTATATATATATATATGGAGTGACACTGGAGAATCAATACTATACTGCTAACTAAAAGATCAGTGGTTCAAACCCACCAGCCACTCCTCAGAAACCCTATAGGGTCGCTGTGAATCAGAACCGACTCGATGGCACTTAACAACAACAACAATATATATACATTTGGATTCTGTAGGATCAGCACTGGGCTGCAAACTACAAGGTCAGCAATTAAAACCCACCAACCGTTCCTCAGAGACCCTTTAGAAGGTCGCTATGAGTCCCTTTGCTAAAACAAACAAAAAAAACTCATGACATCTCCTTACCCCCACATCCACCCCAAGTATTGAGATGGGCTTTCCTCGAAGGACTGAATTCCACAGTAATAAGAAAGAGGGAATCAACTCAAAGGCACATAACAACAAGACAGAAAAGGCAGGGAAAGCATGTTTGGTCTAGGAGCAGGGAGAAGCTTAGAATAAGACACTCTCAGGCAAGAGGTTTGAACCCTTTCTTACCAGCAAGTGGTCATCAGTGATGTGAGACTCACTGGGCAGCCCCTAGTATCTTTGAGCCGCTTAGATTCTTAAAGCTGTTTTTCTTTACATTGGCCTAGTTGGAAACTGAGGCTTTAGATTTCCCATAGAGGCAGGAGTGACAACTCAGAGCTGAGCAGAGTCCTTGCTGAGATCCCACACCAGTATTCTAGATCCAGGCAAGCCTGCCAGAGGTGGAGGAGAGTGGGGAGTCTGGGGTTGGCTCTTTCGTGGTTCCTATAGAGTAGCACTTTAGGCTTTTGCTACCTTAGGGTGCGGCATGTGCTGTAGATTCACTGAATGGGAATTTTGGAGAATTGGAGAAGGCTTTTCAGACGAAATGGCATTTGTTCCAAAGTGATTTTTTTTCTGTTTTTCCCAGCATGTTTGTAATCTGTCTCTCTCTGTAGAAAAAAAAACAACCTAACTCATAGCGACCCTATAGGATGCAGTAGACTTGTCCTACAGAGTTTCCAAGGTCATGCCATCTTTACAGAAGCAGAGTGGCACAGCTTTCGCCTGTGGAGCAGCTGGTGGGTTTGAACCGCTGATTTTTGGTGAGCAGCTGAACTCTTAACCATTTAGAACAGGGGTGGGCAAACGTTTTCTGGGATGGACCAGACAGTAAACATTGTAGGCTGTGCAGGTCATCCAGTCTCTGTTGGAACTACTTACTGCTGCTGAAGTGAAAACAACCAGAGACAATACACAAATGAATGAGCAGGGCTGTATTCCAATCAAACTTTATTTACAAAAACAAGCAGTGGGGTATGTTTAGCCAATGGGTTGTAATTTGTCAACCTCTGCTCTAGAATGTCAGACTTGTTCAACTGCTCACCCCATATTCTCAGCATCAAGAATGTGGCCTTGTACAACTAAAAGTCTTTCACAAATCTTGGCTTTGGGTTTTGGAGTCAGATAGACTGGGTTCCAATTGTCAGCTCGTCAGCTCCACCATTTATAAACCGAGTGACCTTGGGCAAGTTACCAAAGCCTTCTTTGCCTCAGTTCCCCATGGGGGTGGCAATGGTACTCACTGCACAGGGCAGCTATGAGGAAGGAGAGAGATGAGATGGCATGTGCTTGCAGGATGCCTGGGTCAGTGAGCACTTAATACGTATCAGTCATGGGAGTGAGGCTCTGTTGAGACCAAGTGGAGGGGTCAGCGTAAGGGTCAGACTCATAGGTGGGGTGGCGCAGAGTCAGGCCTCTAGGGCAGTACTCACAGCCATTGAGGGACATCTCATAGCCAGAAGTGTGCAGGGCCTCTCGGCTACTGGTAGAGCTCCGGGGTGGGGTCCATGGGTCCGCGTAGGAGCTGGACCGGGCCTTCATCTCCTCCTTCAGAATCAGCCTGCCAATTCCACTCTGGAGCTGGGTTTGGGGTGAGGAGGAGCAAGATGAAGTTAGAAGGAAGCCAAGAACACCAAGATGGAACAGGCCTGAAAAAGGCCATGCCATCTGACCCTCTGTAGTGAACAGCTGCCATTGTTTGCCTTCCAGTATCCCTCCCTCTTTATAGGATCCACGTTTTATTGGGACTCACCACTCTTCCACAACTAGTTCACTGGGCACAAAAAGTAGATCTGGCTACTGGTCAAAGTACCCTGCCCTTGGTGATCACTTCAAGGATGGACAGATGGCTCCAGCTGGGCCTTTTAATGAAAGCCTCCCAAAAACTATTGTTGGAGTTTCTGGACCCATCATTTTATTTTAAATATCTTTTTTATTGAGGTAACATGAAATTAACTATTTGAAAGTGAACAATTCAGAGGCATTTATTAGTCACAAGCACCTCTATCTAGTTTTAAAACACATTTATCTCCCCAAAACAAAACCCTGTTAACATTGAGAAGCTGCTCTTCATTCTCCTACCCCTCCCTCCTCCCCAGTCCCTGGGGACCTTGAATCTAGATTCTGTCTCTACGGGTTTGTCTATTCTAGTATTTCATATAAATGAAATCATTTAATATGTAACCTTTTTGTGCCTGACTTCTTTCACTTAGTGAAAGCTTCATCCGCATTGCGGTGTGAATCAATAATTCACTTTTTTATGGCTGGATAATATGCTGTTTTATGTATGTGCATATTTTGCTTGAGGAGTCCTGGCCTGGTGTGGTGCTGTGGGTTAGTGAGCTGGACTGCAAAGTGGGTTTGAACCACAAGATTGGTGGTTCAAGCTCACCAGCTGCTTCTTGGAAACTCTATACAGGGTCACTATGGGTTGGAATTGACTCAACAGCACTTAACAACAAAAACATTTTGTTTATCTGTTGATAGTCATTTGTTTCGATCTTTTGTTTATTGTGAAGAATTCTGTAGTGAGCAACAGCACAACCAGTCTGAGTCCCTGTTTTCAAGTCTTTTGGGATATACCAAAGAGGGGAATTGCTGGGCCATATGGTAATTCTATGTTTTAACTTCTTGCTGAATTACCAAATGGTTTCCCACAGTGGTGGTGCCATTTTACATTCTTACCAGCAATAGACAAAGGTTGCTAATAGTCATCTTGCCACTTCATGGGAACAATCTCCCTGAGCATGAAGCCAAACAGAAGAATGATTGCATAAGGAGACAAGAGAGCCAAATCCCCTACGACAATTATTTTTTCTTTTTCTTTTGAACAGCTGGATCTAGTTAAATCTGAAAATAATCCTACCTTTTGGCTTTTTAGTTATGGGAAGCTATATATTTCTTTTTCCTTCCTTAAGCTGCTCACATTTGGTTTCTGCCACTTGCAAATGAAAATGCCTTCAGTAATGGACTCTCAGCATCTCAACTGGTATAATGAGCACTTACCTTGTGCATGCTGCGGTCAAAATCCTCCTCTTCTCCTCCAGATGAGAACCTCCTGGCTCGGGGCACTGCCAAAAGACAGAGAGGATTAGCCCAGCTGTAGCCCTACTCAGCCTGCCCTGGGGGGAAGACAGACAGGAGAACTTGAACCTAGGTGAGAAGCTGGGGACTCCAAAGCTTTCTTTTTGACGCTACCATTTCCTGGTTGAATGACCTTGCACAAGTGCACTTTGACCAAGTTCCTGTCATGGCAGATGGACATGTTTGTATGCAGCAGTCCAACATTCCTTCTCATCCTTGGGCTGTGAGGTTCAGGTGAAGTCACCTGTCCACACAGCCAAAGACCTGCCACAGGGATGCTTTCCTGGAGACTGATGGGACAGAGTTTTCTTATTTCCTCTGGTAGGGTGTAAGCCTTAGATCACCTTTATGGAATGGACACACATACGAATCTTTTCCAGTAGGTTGGCCAGGTAGTTGTCTTCTAAATATCTTGGCATATATGAGTGAGCACCTCCACTGCTTCATCTGTTTGTTGAAAGATTTCAATTTGTGTTCCAACAATTCCTGGAACTTTGTTTCTCCTAATGCCTTCTGCGCAGCCTGGACTTCTTCCTTCAGAACTATGATTTCTTGATCATATACTGCCTCTAGAAATGGTTGAATATCATCTATCTTCTTTTGATGTTTCCTGCATAGTTCAATGTTTTCCCCATTGTTATTGCTGTTGTTAAGTGCTGTCCAGTTGGTTCTGACTTATAGTGACCCTGTATAGGGTTTCCAAGGAGCGGCTGGTGAGTTTGAACCAATCTTGTGGTCATTGAGTACTTATCCTACAGCACCACACCAGGAACCCCATTTTCCCCATAGAATCCCCTCAATGCTGCTACTCGAGGCTTGAATATTTTTCTTCTGTTCTTTTAGAATTTTTTCCTTCAGTTTTTTAGCTAAGTGTGTTCTTCTCTTTTGGTTTTCTAACTCCAGGTGTTAGCTCATATCATTATAAAGTACTTTGTCTTCTCAAACTGCCCTTTGAAGTCTTCAAAGGAGCAGAGGAATGTTCCTTAGAGGCAGAGATGGTGAGGCTAGATCTCAGGTGGATATTTATCAGGGGGGCCCAATCTACAGAAAAGGGCATCATGCTTGGTAAAGCAGAAGGTTAGAAAAAAGGGGAAGACCCTCAATGAGGTAGATTGATACACTGGCTGCAGCAATGGTGAGGATGGCACAGACATGAGTATTATTTCATTCTGTTGTACATGGGGCTGCTCTAATCAGAAATGATTCGATGGCACCCAACAACAACAATAATGGTGTAAGCCTGGACTGCTTGGACTCATCTTGTTGTGGTGAGGATGGAGGCCATCTCTGGGAAATAAGTCCAAGTCCTGAAGACATTCATTTACCCCTTAGATTTAAATCAGCCTCAAGTCAATTCAAGATATGAGCTAGTACATTTCTTTTCAGCCTAAGCCATATAGACAGTTGTTTTCTTTTGCAGTTGAAACAGTCCCAGTGAAGATACTTCCAACCCTCTGTGCAGAGTAACCTCTCACTATTGCCATTCATGAATCCTGATCATTGTCCACTTTGGCTTAGAGTTGTGTTTGTTTCTTATCTCCTTTACTAAATGGAGATCTCTTTGAGGGTCAAGAGAAGGGTTATCTCTGTAGTTTCCTTCCCTGAAACTTTGTTCCAGATAGACATTTAAAGGCGTGTGATGGATTAATTGGATCTTGATGAAAATTCCTCCCCATATTTGAAAGAAACAGCTTGGGTTGTTTGGAGATGCCCTGCTTTGCCAAGATGCCCATGAGCGCCTTCCATCTTCCCACATCCTCTCCTTGCCATCTTTCACACCATTTCCACCCTAAAGATGAAGTAGTCTGTCAAACTGAAAATCTGATTGTGTTACCACTTTCAATGGCATCCTATTTTTTTAGGATAAAAGACCAAAGTCCTAACCCCAAACCACAAGGCCCTGTGGGATCTGGTACCTTACTCCACTCCACTCCCTGTTTTCCCTCTCTGAGCTCCAGCCAAGCTGACTGCCTTTCCTTTCTTCCAGTAGAACCTGCCCCCGATCTGGAATCTCTGTGCATGCATTACCACACTTTGTGGTCTTACTCCCTCCTCACCCTTCCTATGGTAGTGCAGCTATCCTTAAGGCACATAGCTGGCTGCTTGTTGAGTGAATAAAAAAATGATTGTGTGAAGGAATGGACAACTATTTTTTCTGACCTCATCTGTCCCTGGCACAGGCAATGGGGTCTGGCCATGGCTCCCCTTTGGGGCACAGTACCTTTGGGGGACCCGTGGTAAGTCCAGTACTCAGATTCTGTGGCATAGTAGGGGTCTGGGGAGTAGGCTGGACTATACTTGGACGCCTGACTGATGTCTTCACTTGTCTTGCTCTTGGTTGCCGTGGACAAATCACCTGCAAAGGACCCAAGGAGAGAGCTTCATGAAGGCAATGTCCTGGCTGAAACTGTCGCAGCTTTTCTCCAAACACAGCCAGGCTCTAGCCCAGGGAGTGAGGCCGCCTTTTGGTCAGGGATGCCTGGGGGGAGAATCTGGTACATGGAAAAATAGAGCCAGCCCTTCATTTGATAGTTAGGAATCTGAATCTTAGAGAAGAACAGGACTTTCCCAAGACCACACAGCCAGCTAGTACAATGACTGGACTGGATCCAGCTCAGGGCTCCTTCCACCACAATCCTTGGACTTCTGTGTCTATTCCTGCATGACTACCAAAGCCAAGGTCCCATGCAATAAGACTATCTAGGTCCTGGACTCAAGTCCCTGTTCTTATCTTCTGGACCCTCTAGAAGCCTGCCTTGTCATGGATTTAACCACACTTTGGGTGGGAATTTCCAGACAGGGCCAGGAAACCTTATCCTCACAATGAAATACCATGTTGTTTGGGGGTCACTACCACTACCTGGAGGAGAGTCCTGGTGTGGTGCTGTGGGTTAATGTGCCAGACTGCAAACCTATTTGAACTGTAAGGTTGGTGGTTCAAGCTCACCAGCTGCTCCTCAGAAACCCTATACAGGGTCACTATGGGTCAGAACTGACTCGGCGGCACTTAACAACAACTATTACCTGGGCTGAAGGAAAGAGCACTGGTTCAACTCTGTTGCTTAACTCAGCTGTAAGGGCAAACCCCACCTTCTTTACTTCAGTTTGTCCATCTGTAATGTGTCACAATTGGTCTGCTGGCTTAGCTCCAGTTTCAAGTTTCTACCTGAAGCCCACAATGTGGCAGTTACCATCAAACCCATCACAGGTACTTACAGGACAACGCACTCACAGGACAATGGTATTAGAGCACCCAGAGATTGGTGACAGGCTGGCAAGGGCAGGAGGCCTGGGGAAAGGGGCACGGAACCACCACTACCATTTCTCAGACATGAAGCCAGAGCAGCACAGGGTCTCAGCCACCCCAGGCTGCACGCTACCCCCTTGGCATTGGCTTCCTCCCACCCCTAGCTGATGGCACTTAGTGCATGTATAGTTCCTGTACACATGCAATCCACCCTCAACCTAGACTCCACCCCAGTCTACTTGGAGTCACCCCTCAGAGCCCACTTGGACAATGCAGCCCTGTGAAGCTTGGGACCTGCCAGGATGGGTTCCTTTCTGTGGTTACTTGGGGGCATATTGCATGTCTTCCACAGCCATGTGTACATGTGCATGGACTCATAGACTCAACTTTGACACCACAACCAGCCCCCTGCAATGTTGACTAAATGGTAGGGTCACTGCTCTCCCCTTTCCTTCCCCCCGCTAACACTCTTGTCTAACTCTGCTCCACTTTCTCTCTGTCATCCCAGACAGGTGTTTGGGCAGGTGAAGGTGATGCAGGGTGGTAGCTGCTCCTCTAGATTGTAAACTCCTCAAAGAAACTCCCCAAACCCAGTTGCTGTTGAGTCAATACCCCTGGCTCATTGAAGTGACCCCACACTCCAACCCCATGAGTGTCAGAGTAGAACTGTGCTTCATAGGGCTTTCAATGGAAGATTCATTGGAAGTAGATCACCAGACCTTTCTTCCGAAGTGCCTCTGGGTAGCTGTGAACTTTCAACCTTTAAGCCAGTAGCCAGATGCTTAACTATTTGCTCTACTCAGGGACTCCATCCTCAAAGGAAGGGATGTGATGTGCTTATTTACTGTAGGCTAAGTACTTTCTGGAAGAATGAACAGGAGGTGACAGTGATGAAGGATCTGGTATACTCATATTATGAGTACAGGAGAGATTCATTGATATGGTGCAAGTTGCAGTGTAGATTCTGGGCTACTTAGTATTCCTAGTTAAGCAGGTCTGGGCATAGCGTCTGCCTCTCATAATCTTTCAGGTGCAGGATGAATAGATGAATACATGGCGGCTGCCTTAGTGACTCCCTATTCTTTTCTCATCTATGAACCCTCATTCCCTGCCCTGTCCCTGCTTTCAGCCTCTACCACTCTCAGGAGACTGCAGCTGAGTGCAGCTTAGAGCAGGGGGTCCCAAATTCATCTGGGCATTGGAACCTCCTGGAAAACCTGTTCAATCTGTTGCTGCTATTGAATCAAGTCGATTGTGACTCTTAGCAATCCTATAGGACAGAGTAGAACTGCCCCATAGAGTTTCCAAGGCTGTAAAATCTTTATGGAAGCAGACTGTCATATCTCTCTCTCAGGAAGTGGCCAGTGAGTTTGCAATGCCAACCTTTTGGCAAACAGCCAAATGTTTAACCACTGCATCACCAGGGCTTTTGTGGAAAAACTGTTATAGATACAAAATTCTGAGTCACAGAGTCTGGGGTGGGCCAAGGGATTTGTATGCATCCCAGGTAATTCTAATGAACATGCAGTTTGAGTATCAATGTCTTGGTAGGTGACTCTCCCACAGGCATGTGCATCTTGCAAGGAATGCTTTGACCATGGGATTTAGGAGACCAGACAGCAGTTAAGAGTGGTGGTTGTGAGCAGGTGTAAGGGATTTAGGGTTGTGTCCTTGTTCCTTTGAAATGATACCACACTCCTCCTCAGTGTCACCTTGAGAGAGTGGTGGACAGCCAGCAAGGAAGAATGGCATTGCAGCTTTTCAGTGTGTCCTTCCTGGTGACCTTAACCTCTCCCTCCCCTTGCCTAGCTGAGTCCTGCCTGCCTGGGATCATACCATGCCGCTTGTAGATGGGGGGTTTCCGGTAGATGTTACTTTCTCCAGCTGCCAGACCGACCAGGAAGGGACAGTGGGGAGGAAACAAAGACAAGGAGAAAAAGAGACAGTAATTGGTCAGTTGATTTCAATAGAGAGAGATGGTCAGTACTTTTTTTTTTCTTTTAAGTTTTCCACCATCTTTCTTTTGGTGGACTTCCTCTTTCAAAGTTGAGCTTCCAACTCATCCCAACATTTTCCAAGTAAGGGAGGGGGACAGGAATGGGTGGATTCACATGGCGCTGAAGGAGGGACTTGGGCCTTGAATGGTGAGCATGCAGGCACAGGTGGGCACATGCTCAGCAGGACCTCATGCAGGGCAAGTGTCCTCTGCTTCTACCAAGTAGTCACGCCTTGTTCCATGCAAAAGTCCCTAGGATGCGGCAGCCAAGTTTCAGCATTGCCTTCCACCCACTCCATCAAAAACAGGACAGGACCTTTCTGGGCAGGTGAGAGAGATGTAGATGAAACAGCAGGACAAGTTCCCAGGAAAAAGTGGGTGGAGGAGTGAAATGGAGCTCAGAGCCAGGAACCATGGGTTTAGGCCTGGCTTTGCTGTAACTCAGGGCATGTATGACCTTATCTAAATTATATCCATAGGGTCATCAAAACCCATTGCTGTTAAGTCAAATTCCGACCCATAGTGATCTCAGAGGGCAGAGTTGAACTGCCCATAGGGTCCTAAAGGCTATAAATCTTTACGGAAGCTGACTGCCACATCTTCTCCCAGAGTGGCTGGTGGGCTCAAACCACTGACCATTTGGTTAGTAGCTGAGCACTTAACCATTTCACTATCAAGGATTCTTTCAAGGTAATCGAGTTACTGCCTTCCTTTTATTCCTATCACTCTAGTTAAGTAAGTCTGGGAGGGGTGGGGGGACAAAGTATGACCTACAGCCACACTGGCCACTGCCCGGTTCAGTGTTTTAGGGTCTTATTGTTGTCTTTGCTTTTCTCAGTGATCTTCAAAGGTTGGTTCCTTGTCATGTTTTGACTTCAATATTACATCCTGAGATGCCCTTCCTGACCACCCCATCTAACCTAACTTCTCCTATCCCAGTCAGCTGATCACCCTATTTTGTTATGTGCAAAACACCTACTATAAGCTGAATTTACCCATTTACTTACTGGTTTATTTACTTCTAGTCTCTGTGCCCATATTGGAACACAAACACTACGAGGAAGAAAATGGTAGCTGCAGCTTCAGCAACCAGATGCCTAGCTACAGATGAGGCTCATTGAAGACAGGTAACCAGCCCCAGGTCACGCAGCTTGTAAGCAGTGGAATCAGAATGGATCCCAAGTGTTGATGCAAAAATCCATGGCCTAAAAATCTAACACTGTGTGTTAGAGCTTGGATCCATCGACCATCAGACACAGGGGCACTTTCCTCATTTCCTGAGCCTTGTCTTCTCTGAGCTGATTCTCTGAACAGCAACCCACTCACCAAAAGGTCTTGATCAAGATAGGCTACGTCACATGGGTGGACTATGGCCTGTGGCCGTGTGGGCTGGAGGGTGAGAATGCTACAGGTGACTGGTTAGGGAAGGTCCCCCCAAAACTAGCTTCTCCTCAGTGCTGGCACCCGGCAACCCCACGGAGCATGCACCCATGCCGGGCATTCAGGGCTGACAGAGCCTACCTGGGATGTGAAAGTGCTTGGGAGCCTGGTAAGAGGTTGGAGTGGAGGACCTCACATCTAACTGGCTATGGTATGGAGAGCTCCGGCCACTCTCGGGCCCTGGAGCACGCAGGCAGTGGTCCCCAGAGAGAACAGAGGCATAGAGAAAACAGGCATTAACGCGGAGGCGGATCAGGAAGCAGTGAGGTGATGACAGCAAGGATGGTGGGGACAGGCTGGGGCACCCAGCGTGCTCAGGCCCGAGTCAGGAGAAGCATGTGCTCTCATGCATGTCTGCAGGAACAGGCTTGAGCTTGCTTCCTTGCTTGACCTCAAAGTCAGAGTTCATGGGTGGTGAGAATCAACTCCATGGAGCATTCGGGAAGGCATTGCAACCCCTCCCTGTCCAGAGCCCTCCCTTCATTGCTCTTTTCCTCCATCCCCATGACTGCATTGGGGTTGGGTGGGTGCAGAGGCTCTGTCACTGGTCTCCTGGTCTACCTTCTGATGTGGCAGGTCAAATGGTGTTGAAGTCTTCTAGCCAGGGCATTGCGCTGCCTACTACTCTCCATTCCTGGCAGCTTACAACCCACCTTCACGCTGCTTCTCAGCACTGAACACCCCTCCCTTTAACCTGGGTACTCCCCAAAAGGGAGCATTTGGAGGGGATCAGTGAGGCCTAGATGGAGACCTGTGTGTGTCCTCCAGGGGTCCACACTGGAATAAGATCTTGGGGGAGCCCGGAGCTGTTTCTCAGCCTAGGGACACCAAGCTGCTGCTTTATTCCCTCTGCTTCCCATAACTCTTTGAGGGCTCCCCTTCCTTACCAGAGCGGTAGTAGAGGTGAGGCGAGCGGGAGAAGGTGGGAGACATGCCCTGCCGGCTGTATGTGGGAGAGTCGATGTAGCCCGGGCTGGAGGCCCGTCTCTGCCGGAGGTCCAGGTTCTCGTAGATGTCCTGGGGAGGAAGTGGGGCTGTGAGCAAGGCAGGTTGGGAGAACGTCTTTGGATCAGGGATTCCAAGTGCTGAGACTGGATGCTGTCCCTCTTTATAAACTTGGAATTTATAGACTTGGAATTCCCAGAACAGTCAGAGGAGGGCAGCAGAGGATTTCCAATTCCTTCACTCATCCTCCCTCCTCTCCCCTACACACAGGCCCTTGAGTGGACCCCTGGAATCTTGGCCCTGGATCTGAGAGGCATCAGGGCGGTCACCTCTGGGTAGAAAGGGCATATCAGGTTTTCTCCCAGCCATTTCTACCCTTAGGCCACCACCACTTCCTCTGGGTCCTGCCCCTGCTGTCCAGTTTGGGGAGAGACTTAGAGCAAGGGTTCAGGGCCTTGGGAGGAGGGGTGGGAATGGGGGATTAGGGTCTACCTTCAGCATAGAGGGACACGGTTATATAACCAGTCTCCCCAAATTAGCTTAATTACCTGCGAGTAGGGAGATAATGTTCCCAGCGACTTAGAAGCGAAGGTAGCCATGGAAGAAGCACAGAGGAGAGAAAGGAAGAACAGAGTAAGGCAAAGAGTCTGCAGAAAGGAAGGGCCTCTGTGGCCCCAGGCAGGCCATCCTCTCCAGAGAACAGCTGCACTCAGAATTCCACCATACCAGACTGCTGGCAGGAAGCCTGAGATCATGCCCTTCTTTTACAAATGGAGAAGCTGAAGTCTAGGGAGGGAGCTAGACCAGGTAGCCTCTCAGGGAGGAAGAGGCACGCTCTTGACTTGGACCACAGTATCTCCACCACAAGCTCAGACCCTCCCCAGTCCCACTACCACTTCACAAGCCCTGGGTGGTTCTTAAGGACAGTGCTCAGGCCAAGCAAAGGCTGAGAGGGAGGTGAGTTGGTGGGTAGAACACCAAGCTGGAGAGTAAAGGTCCCATCTAAAGGGGACAGATGCTCCTTAGTTCCAGCAGGTCAGGGCTATGATGAAGTGCCAGGCTGATGTGTACAGGGCTCCTTAGTTTTCCAAGAGACCTCAGAAATGCAGAACCATATGTGAAATCTCCCCATGTTTAAATGTTGGCAACTGATTTACATTTTTAAAAGGCACTTTGTGAGGGAAATGAAACAAATCTGGAGATTGGCTGTTGCCTGTGAGCCCTACACTGTAACCTCTGGCTTCAGGACAATCGCTTTCTCCCAAACACTTGGTCCCTTATTTTCGGATCCACTTTGGGAGCTAGTACCCAGAAACTTCAACAATGGGCTCTTAAGCTTCATTTGACTCATACCATGGCAGCATACCTGCTTTTCAACCAAATGGAAACCTGATCTCTTAGAGAAGAAGGGCACTTTTCCAAGGTCTCAAAGCTAGTTAGTGGTGGAGGTGGGATGAGAACCCTGGACTCATACCCAGCAGTCCAAACTGTCCATCTCAGAGGGCCTGGGGTGGGTTAGAGAGCTGGCAGGTCACCCTGCCTTCTCCAGAGAACACTTTCTCTTGTTCTTCTTTTATCTCCAGTTGCTGAGGAATATGTTCTGATTCATGACAACCTCATGCATGTCAGAGTACATGTCCATACGGTTTTCAATGGCTAATGCTTTGGAAGCGGACCATAGGGGTTTTCTTCTGAGATGCCTCTGGGTGAACTTGAACCTCCAACCTTTCTGTTAGCAGCCAAGTGCATTAAATGTTTGTACCACTCAGGGACTAACCATTTAATTATTTCAGAAGCTATTGGACGTAGAGTCTTTATAAAAAGTGTCTTTTGCTCTGAGCACAGAGGCTTGAAGCCAGACGCAAAAACCATGCCCATAGAGTCTGGGGATGTAAACGAGAGTCATGGGCTGCATATAAGAAAAAACAACAACTCTTTATTATAAAAACAACAACAGCTCATGTGCTGAATGGTCACATCTCTGAATATCTGTGTTGGGATCCAATAGAGTGGTGGGTAGTGGGGAGAACTGGAGATCCTATGTTCTGTCCAGAGCTGCTTCCCATCTCCAGATGGTGGAAATACAGGTTCAGTGTTGCCAACTCTAATTTTTCAAGAAAAGCCAGGAAGCCAGATTGTTGGGTGAAATCTCTTGATTTTCAAAGGCTGACTATAATGAGTTCCAGTTTAAAAGACTCTGGGGCCAACACTGTGGAGGTTAAACCATCTGTGATGGACTATACTAGAGATCCCAGTGGGACCTCCTCTTCCCTAGCAGCCCCAGAGAGGGGCAAATTTCAATACCTCTCCATAGCCACATCTCTCCAGCATCTCGTCAGACGTGTATCTGGAATGAGGCTCGTAGGAAATGAGGTCGGGACGTTGTACCTCGTAGATGGATTTAACCTTGGGGAGAGCTGCCAGGTCTTTGTAATTAAGGATCTCATTATCCACTTTAGCCTGGGGAAGAGGGAGACAGGCAGGAAAGAAGTTGACAGATAAGAGAGAAAAGGAAAGAGGGAAAAAAACAACAACTAAAAGCAAAATATTAGGATCAAAGAATCACAGAATGTTAGACTAAGAAGTTGTTGGGGTCATGTATTCCAACAAGACTGCTGTTTATTGAGCAACTGCTCTGGTAGCGTAGTGGGCTACAAGTTGGGCTGCTAACAGTTCAAATCCACCAGTTACTCCGCAGTAGAAAGATGAGGCTTTCTGCTCCCGTAAAGATTTACAGCCTCGGAAATGCTACACAGGGTCACGATAAGTCAGAACCGACTTGATGGCACATAACCTCCACCACTGTATTAGGTGCTGTGTTTACCAGAAATTATTTCTTTGACCTGTCACTGAACCTCTGTGAAGTACTAGTTATTGTTGTTAAGTGATGAGTCAGTTCCAACTCACAGAGACATTATACAGGATTCGAAGGACTAGCTGCTGGGTTTGAACCGCTGACCTCGGGGTTAGTAGGCTAGTGCTAATCCTGTAGCTCCACATCAGGACTCTAAAGTATTGGTATTATTTCTGTTTTTCAGCTGAGGAAATTAAGGCTTGAAAGGTTCATCAACTTGTATCCCTTAGCTTTGCTAAGTTGTTAAGTGCTGTTGAGTCAGTTCTGATTCATAGCGACTTTGTACAGGGTTTCTGAGGAGTGGCTGTTGAGTTTGAACCACCGACCTTGCAGTTCAAAGCCACCTTGTGGTCCAGTGCATATCCTACAGCACTATGCCAAGACTCTGCATCCGTTAACTAATAGCTTTAAATTGAATCTGAATTACACAATCTGGGTGTTTAAGTGCCTTCCAACCTCACATGGTGAAGACTGTCCATTCATAGCATCTTTGAAGGAGGAGATGAAGGTGGTAAAGACCAAAGTAATCAGGATTGTAAAACACTAGCTAACATTTGGTGAGCACTTGTGAGCCAGACTCTGTCCTAAACCCCTTATAAAAATTAACTCAGTTTATCTGTACACCTCACATTATCATCAGTTTTGAATTAGGAAAACAGATGCTCAAAGAAATTAATGTGTATGTGCAAGTGAATTCAGCTAATAAATGGCTGAACCAGAATGTGAGTCCAAGCCATCTAACCAGAGAGTATCCCTCTCCATGGGCCTCTCCTGCCTTCTTATGTGATAGGCGGCTCACTGTCTTACACTGTTAGAGGGTTACATTCAGAAAATTGCTCCTTTCTTGGACTGAAATGAGCCCCTAACTACTACTTCGCCTGAGTTCGGTCTTCTGGAGTTCGGTTTCCATGTTCACACTCTTCAGTTGTTCCCTTTGTGACCCAGTGTCTGCTATGGTCAACTGGAATCTGTCCCCCTATAACCGCTTTAGCTTTCAGAACCCTGTGGTGAGGTAAACTAAGAGAGAGGTCACTTGTCCTCATAACAGGCTCCTAACTAATTCCGTGGCAACCAGGTAAAGTCTCATAAATACTTTATAAACTTTAATATTTTTTATAACTTCCCTATTCCTCCCAATAGTCTATATACAACCAAGCCCACTACAGTGTGGACACTGTTGATGACCCCTAGATCCACTCTTTACCCTTCATTGACTTGTTCTGCACAATGAAACCTTCCATTGACTTTATTCCAGGTTTCTTACTCTTTGACTTTCATTTAGTTTGACCAATGGGAGGCACCAGCAGACAATGGAGTTTGGTGTATTTGTACCCATTCTTCACTTATTGATCTGACGAGGTTCTAAAGACAAGGTTGGTATGTGAAACTTGGCATTATGCAAAAATGGAGGATCATCACAACAGATCACAAAATGTAGGATGATTGCATCATTACGTAGCTGCCAAATGACATCATTATATAACTGCCAAATTATACCATTACATAACTGCCAAACCACTGAAAATTGTGGCCCAGCCAAGCTGACACATAACCCTAACCATCACAGTCAGTATTATTCTCACCTCACACTTCAGGCTTTGTTACTGTCAAATATATGTGGCTAATGTGCATAGTAATTGGATAGTATATTTTTTTTTACCATGCTGCAAATGTGAAATGTTGGATAATGAGATAGTCGGTAAGTGAGGAGTAAGTGGTTTCTCTCTGTTCCCTCCCTGCCTGGCCATGCTTCTCTTTTTCTAGAGACTGTTCCGACCAGCTCTTGTCACACTGTTTTCTTCCCTTGTCCTTTTAGGCTTAGGAGTAGTAAGTAACAACTTCCCACTGTTTTAGTTCCTGAATGCCTCACATTCTCTTTGCATTCCCTTAAATCTGCCCATACTTTGTAAATGACCCTTTATGAAAGAAACCCTCCTTAGTTAAGCCTGTTGAAGTGTGCTAGCTGACATGTGTCACAGATGGGTATGGTAAAGGGAACCTTATCCCGGGAGTCCACTGGCTGAAGTAACTTCTACCTTTTCCTCTGGAATATTGGGTCTTACTGTTGAGAGCTTTTGGCATCTTGAAAACTCCAACTCAACCCATATTATTTATCTTGGTACTTTACTCCAAACCTCAAAATTAGTAAATACATATTTATTTGTTCCTATAACCTGTTTTCATGGCTATAAATGAACCTTAGGTCTGGAGACCCAGTGACTGCACAGAGGCATCCTAACATAATTAGCCAGGAAAGAAGGAAGACAACACATGGGCCTTTTCAAAGTTAAACTCCCTTAAGATGACTCTAGTATTCAGTGGGGGTGAAGGAAAGGTGGAAAAGTTTTGTACTTCCTGAAGTTTCAATTTTAATATCAAACATCACTCTCTATGAAAATATAGTCAGTTTTCTACCTTTAAGCCTGTTGTTACATGGCACAAAAGAGGGTGGGTGGAGTTTTCACCATGTTTGGAGTGCAACCTTGGAATGAGGTCTAACTTAGAACACACATAGTGAGACATGTGCAATCGGTTGTTTCTCATAGCATCTGGAAGAGAGGTAACACAAGCGATGAGAGCAGGAGACTGCAGAAGGGGAGACACATGTCTATGCTAGGGCACAAGGGCCAACTGATCAAAGTGTACAGCCCCCAGGTGGACCGCACACTGGCAGGAGTCCTCATTGCCACTATTCATTGGTAGAGAAGCTGCTTCTCAAAGAGGCAACTCTATGTAGCTTTCTCTGGGCCTCCAGGGTGAACATCATCAGGGACATATTTAATGAAGGTTAACAAGGCTCCTCAGTAGCACAGCTAGTGATTAATGAATGGCATTAGAATGCAGCACTTCCGGAGCTCATATTCTGGTAACTCTCTTCTGGAGACAAGCTCACGTTTGTCAATAACTTCATAGCGTAGGCCCTGAAACTAAGCCCATTAATCCTGCTGCGGTCTGGCCCTATTCATAATACCAGGGGGACTATCATCGCTCTTGTTTCTGGACAGAAATCTTTAATTCGTACCGCCTGTGATCAAAGTAGCTTGCCTTTTGTGGCAGCCACATAGCAGTATTGACCCATATTGAAGTTGCAGTCAATGATAACGTCTTTTTCTCATTTTAACAGACGGAGAAAGGAAAGGAAATAGTCCCATCAATGGCATTATCCAGTGATCTAAGAGGAAAGTGAGTGTGGATTTGGAATGCAATGGTGGTCAGGCCCACCCAGGACTGGCTGGTCATTTGGAGTGAGTTTCCTGTTACCGATGACCAGAACCAAGACCAGTACCAGTTGCTATCCAGTTGCTTCCAATTCATGGAGATCCCATGTGTGTCAGAGTAGAACTGTGCTCCACAGGGTTTTCAGTGGCTGCTTTTTTCCAAAATAGAATGCCAGGCTTTTCTTCCAAGGTGTCTCTGGGCAGACTCACACCTCTAACCTTCCAATTATCAACAGAGCATGGAAACCATTTGCTACACCCAGGGAACGCTGTAGACTATATCTGGTCTTTTTGATGCTTTCAAGTTGTGGAAGGTTGCAACAGTCCAGAGTCAACCAGATTGGGTTTCCATACTGTCAGTCCTCTTTACTCATTTCAAGTCTTCCCTGTTTGCCCCACCTCTGTTAACTTAACGTTTGTCCCTCAAGTTTGAGCTTCCATATTTCTTCCTCATCTATGTCCTCTCCCAACGGGTGCTAGACTGTCAGGTCCCTGTGTTGTAAATTATCAGAGCACCTTGGACTTTATTTTCCTTGCACATGTCTTAACTGCTATTGATTACCCATGTAATGATTTGATTAATGCTGTGAGGACAGGCATTGGGTCTGTGTGGCTCATCACTGTTTCCTGAGCTCTGAGAACAGTACTAAATGCAGAGTAGATACCCAGCACATATTTGTTGAATGAATGAAAGAATGGATGGATGAATGAATAACCTACATATCCAAGGTACCTTGGAGGTCTTCTAACTTAACTCTCATCCTTTTTTCTACATCCCAAGCAGATGATGAGTCTTTCTTCATTTGAAAGTATCAGGAATGCTCCTGATACTTCCAAGTTGTCTACTCCCTCCTTGCATTACTCACATGACTAGAAAATTCTTCTTTATGTTTGGAAATCCTTTATGGCCAGGTTTCCACATTCGCATAGTTTTTTCCTTCCTTTCTGCCTCTCACACACACTTCTACCTCCACATCAGTATTCCAACCTAGTACCTGCTGTTTTCTGATCTCCTGTTTTTAACTTGCCCTCACCTCAGTTAAGTCATATAAAAGGAGGCGCCTTGCACGAGCTTCGGAGCTCCTCCAGGCCTCTTGTTGTCAGTTCTTTCTCATGCTCCCACTGAACGCTGGAAGATTCCTGTAACTCTGCTGTGTGATTCTGTTTAGTAGACTGTGTGTGTATCTGTCCTGTTCCCCTTTGTATCCTCCTAGCACAGAGCCTGGCACATGGCAAGCACACCCTAACTATCAGGATGAAAACCTGACAGCTGTCTTTTGTCAATTCCCCATCCTTAAAAACTTTAGTTACCAAGACTGAGGATAAGAAAAGCCCTTTGGTGGCCAGAAAGCAATACATACGCAGATGACTCGGTTGGGTGACCCAATGCTGGATCCTGGGGGTGAGATGGAAGTTTCAGATGTCCTCCTATGCTGTGGGGACAAAGAAAAAAGGGGTGAGGAGCTGCACTTTGTAGGAAAGGGGGCATGAGAATACTAGCAATGCTGCTAAAATAGTCTTTGTTCTCTTGTACATAGTCAGAACCCATTCGAAGGCACCTAACAGCAACAACAATATTAAGTGCATAAATATACATGTGGTAGACACATATGGCAAAAGCCCCAGGGTTGTAGAAGAACTGGAGTTTGGGAAATGCTGCCAAAGGGAAGGGAGGTGAGGAAGAAAATGACAGGTAGGTCTTCTCTCTAGAAGGGAGAGGCCTTGAGGAAATGGGAAGAAAAAAATTCACAGCTCAAGAACAATTCTACCTCAACAGACCAGATCTTTCCCCAAATCTACATTAAGTGGATGAGGCAGAAAAGCAAAGGAGACTGTCTTACTATCTTACTAGCTGGTCAGAAATTGTGCACATGTGTTTTGAGATGCTGAGTTTCTAGCAGTTAGCCTACAGGATGATGACACTTAACAACAACAACAAACCTCCACTAGTGTCATGAGGAGTCATGTGGATATCCTGGAGCCAGAGTGTAAAGGCACTTGAAGATCAAGAATGCTGTGCCCCCCACTACATACCGAGTAGGTACCCTAGCCTCAGCATTATGGCCAGGATCTGGGTTTCTCCCTGCAGCTGTGAAGCTCCCCCTACACCACACTGTGGTTCCCAGATCAAGCACCCAGTTTCCTAGGAACTCCTGGTACTGGCCAGAGGATAGTAACTCAGAAGGACGCAAGGACCTCAGCTGGGCCAGAGTGTGACAAGGGCGTCAGCTGTACTGCTTGGCTGCATTGCTATGAACTTGGTTTTCTCACAGTCAAAACGAAGATTAAAAAAAAAATCCTTGTCCCATCTGTTTCATAGTTTATTTTGCAAACTGTCAGTTACTGTGCTAATATTAATTATTATTATTTATAAATGACCTTAGGTTGGGGGAAACCATGACATTAATTCCACAGAGAGGCCGCCATCTTGGTATGCAATAGTTATAGACTTGCTATGAGAAAACTCACATTTATACAGTGCTTGACAGTCTTCAAGTGCCTTCACATCCAATGTATTAGCCCCCTTGAAAGCACCACGAGGCAGGTGCCCATTATAGAAGTTCAAGGACATAGACACATATTTGGGAGTGGGTACAAAAAGAACTCATGACAGGGCACTGCAGCGCGGGGCTGCCTACCACCAACCATTGGTAAAAAGTATCCACACAGAAGTGATGGGCTGTTACCACTGTTAGCTTACTTACCTTTAACTTCTTCTCTGCCCGAGCTGCCTGTTTGCAGATAGGGTGCCAAACCTCAGAACCTAAAGAGTCAGGAAAACCACAAAGACTCAGACACATCTATACCATCCCAGCATTCTGAGGCTCACCTCACCCCCACTCACTCTGCTGGCAACATGGATGAAAAACTGACTCACCAGCAGGATCATCCCTTGGTTTCCCCACCTCATTGATCATACACCCACTCAGGCATCCTCAGTTTTGAACACCCACACACCCTCTGCTTGTCCAATTCCTACACCTTCCTCAAGGTCCAGGTCAAACTTTCTTACCTGTCAGCTGGGAGTGACTTCTTTCCCTTCTCTGATTCATTGTTCTTTGTATCTCTCAACACATATGGGATTAAATCACCACAGCTTAAGGATTTATCACCCCAACTAAATTAAGAGCTCTTCTGAGCAGGGACTGAGCTCTGCTCATTGTTGTGAGTTCTACTCATCACTGTATTTCTCGAGCACTTAGCGTTGAACTTAGCATATAAGTGGAGGCTCTGTACATGTTTGGGGGGTGAAAAGATGAGAGGGCTACAGGCAGTGAATGACACAGCAGCTGGTCAATAAATATTTGTTGGATGAATGAGTGGCAGTATGGATGGAATGACAGACCATGGTGAACTCCAGTTCTCCTTGCTCTTCAAAGACTTATGACAGACCACCAAAGTATCACATTTAAAGGGAGGGGATGTTGTGGTATACATTTAGCTTTATAGAACTGTCTTGACCTACTAATTCCTAAGAGACCTAGACTCGTCAAATTTAGTACATGGTTAATACTGTGGCTAGGGGTCCAGTTGGTCAGCCCCTGACCCGAGAGGCCAATTCAGAAAGGCATGAGCAACAGGTGGCTGCTCACATGCTGAGAAGAAGCCCCAAATATTACACATTCCCCAAAGAAGGGACAGGTGTCGTGGATTAGAAAGAAAAATAGGAACATATTATCCCGGCGGTGCCATTCCTCTTGTAACCAGCTCTGAAAGGAAAGAAGCCAGCAAATGGCTGGATTCCTGAGCACCCAGATGGCTTTGTTTGTCTGACTTTGTTTCTAGAATATACACTTCATCATGGATTGTTGCCTGGAACCTGCAGGACTTTAATACTGGTTTAGAGACACCAGGGATGGTGGGAGATTGAGTAATCAGATGCAAAAAGGGAAAGAGATAATGGGCCTGCAGTAAATACATCTGGGTTCCTGTTGCTCTTGGACTCCTAATTCACCCTTTCTTGAGCTTCCAGTTTTCTTATCGGAATACCGATGAGGTGGGAGCTAGATGGTCTAAAGATTTATTTCCAAAATTCTAATTCTAGGGGTAATGTTATCCCTTGTAGATTAAGGATCCCTGATTTTTGTTTGCTGATATTCGTGTTGTTAAGTGCCTTCAAGTCGGTTCTGACCCATAGGGACCCTGTATAGGGTTTCTAAGGAGCAGCTGGTGAGCACGAACCACCAGCCCTGCAATTCAAAGGGCTTTGCATTCTGGCGCATTAACCCACAGCGCCACACCAGGACTCCTGATATTCATAATTATTGCTAATTAAATAGCAAGCTTTTACTTTAAGGAGTCCTGATGTGGTGCTGTAGGATCAGCACTAGACTGCTAAATGCCAGATCCAGTGGTTCAAACTCACTAGCTGCTCCTTGGAAATCGGATACAGGGATGTTATGAGTAGGAATTGATTGATGACACTAACAGCAAGTCCAGCAAGTACTGGAGTGGGTTAGGCATTGAGTTGTTAACCAAAATGTCTGTAATTTGAACTCATCAGCTACTTCCTTACAGATTTACAGCTCCTAAATCCCCGTGGGGTTAATGCCCAGACTGCAAATCCATTTGAATTGCAAGGTCGGCGGTTCAAGCTCACCAGCTGCTCCTCGGAAACCCTATACAGGGTCGCTATGGGTCGGAATCAACTCGATAGCACTTAACAACAAGTCCTCGGAAGTCTTGGTGTGGCGCTGCGGGTTACTGCGCTGGATAGCAAAGTCAGTTTGAACTACAAGGTCGGTGGTTCAAGCTTACCAGCTTACCAAGGAGCATCTTGGAAACCTATACAGGGCCACTATGGGTCGGGACCGACTCCGCGGCACTTAACAACAACAACAAGCCTTCAGAAGCAGTTCTCCTCAGTCCTATACAGGTTTCTATGAATTGGAATTCACTCGAAGACAGTGGATTTTTTTACATGTCAATTGCAGTGATCTTTAGAGTCCAGTAGAGGGACTCTGGGTCTGCGACTTGATTAGCAATCAATGGGTGTGTGTTTGCTTGTGGGAGTTATTAGAGAGAGCATTTCCGGTTTCTCACTGAGTTGCTCCTGAATCTATCAAGTCTACCAGGAGTTGTTTACCACAGTGCCTCCGGCAGGAAGCACATGTTACAGGTCACTGTAGGAAATGGTTGAGGCGGATACAGAGGCCTAAGAAGGTCATGCAATTCAGCGAAAGAGGCACAGGGCCAGGCAGGATTCCCCCTGGGAGAAGTGATCTGGAAAGCGAGGGGACACACTATATGATCTGTCTGGCCTTTTGACTCCCAAACATTGACATATCTGTGAATGACCATTAGCTTCAGCACTCTGCACCCAGGAAAGCAGGTCTATATGCCTATATGCAGCGTGCGTTGGGGAATCAAAAAGAGAAAAAGGAAATGTAACTAGAAGTGAAGGAAAAAAAAAAAATTTAGCAGTTTGGAAGTTGGCAATATAAAACCCTAAAACAAACTCACTGCCTCTGATTAAGTCTGTTCCAACTCATAGCGACCCTGTATAGGGTTTCTGAGACTATAAATCTTTATGGGGGTGGAAAGCCTCATCTTTCCTCCCTTAGAACTGCTTTGAACTGCCAATAGCGGTCCAGTACTTAGCCTACAATGCAGTATGCCATCTAAAGACAACAGGGCCAAAAAGGAATTGCTTGGTAGTTAGCAATGAAGGGAAGAATAGGTGGTTTGTTCATGAAGACCCTCGTGAAATTATATGGTCCACTGAGCTAATGCCATTTAGCTTATGCTAAATGTGGTATTAAAAGTTCAAAATGTGATATTAAAAGAAATACAATATCCCAAGTGAAGAAGGAGAGTAGTCTCTTCTTTGAACTCCAGCACTCAAAACAGTGAGTGCACATGTATGTTTAATAAAGAAATGAATGAATTACTGTTCGTAGCCTGCTTTTGCATTATAAAGAAAGAAAAAAAACCAAGAAGGTAAAATGTAGCCAGACGAGAAGGGTAACCAGGTTAAAGAGGGGACTCAAAACTAGGCTGTAAGGCAGGGTGTTCATCTTGGGGAACTTGACAGTGATAAAATAGTCTTTGAATTTGGCAATTAAAAAAACAAAAAAATGATTTTTTGTTGTTTTGAAATGTACACAGCAAACCTTGGCTTTGAATATTTTAATGGCTTTCTGGTGGGAGGAGGAATTAACTTGTTCTGTATGTCTTAAACAGTAGAATTAGAACTGAGAGCTAGAAGCTTCAGGGAAGGGGAATTTTAGATGTGAGCATCGGATGACCTCAGTTATCTGATAGTGAGCTCCTCATTCCTGGAAGCATTTAAGTACACATTAGCTAGATAGAACTTGACAGAGATATTGTGGGCTGACTCAATGGCACCTAACAGCAGCAACTACAATAGCGCTGTGGCTCCTTAAGATGAGTACTGGATTGCAGACCACAATGCCGGTGGTTCGAGCCCAACAGCCACTCCACGGGAGAAAGAAGGGGCTTTTTGCTCCCACAAAGATTTACAGCCTAAGAACCCCTATAGGGGTCGCTGTGAGTCAAAACTGGCTCGATGGCACTTAACAATAACAACAAGAGATATTGTGGAGGAGGGGCCTCATGTGGTAGTTACACTAAAGGGCATTTACCATCCTTCTCAACCCTTAGATGTTCTGTTTTCAACTTAGCAGGCTTTTCTATATAGAGCAAGTAATTATTTGCTCTCAACAATCTCGATTAGAATGTAAGTTCCACTAGGGGAGGGACCATATCTGTTTTGTCTACACATGCATCTTTAAGGAATGGCAGAGTATCTGCTAAATGGTGGGTTCTCAGTAAAAAATGCATGGAAGAATAAAAAAGAAACATGAAAATGTATCTTAGACCAATTGGATACTCAAATTGGATACTCAAAGACTTTGACAAGTATTACAACAATCTAGATTCATTCAACTTCTACTATTTCAGATGGAGTGTATATAATAGTATTCATTAGCTTAACACCAAACCAGTTGCTATGGAGTTGATTCTAAATCAAGGTGACTGACTCCATATGTATCAGCGTAGAACTGTCCTTAAAAGGATTTTTGAAGACTTGGCTGATTTTTATAAAGGAGATTGCCAGACTTTTCTTCCAAGGTACCTCTGGCTGAGCCTAAACCTCTAACTTTTCAGTTAGCAGTTGAGTACATTAGAGGTTGGCACCAATCAGGGACTCCTTCCCTAGATTGTTGTTGTTGTTGTTAAGTGCCATTGAGTGGTTCTGACTCATAGTGAATCTGTACAGGGTTTCTGAGGAGTGGCTGGTGGGTTTGAACTCTCAACCTTGTGGTTAGCAGTTCAGTGTTTATCCTACAGTGCCAAAACAGGAAACTCCTTCACTAGGTCACCTGTCTTGGAGCCTGGTAAAATGCAGATTCTTGGCCCTGCGCAGAGCCAATGAAGTGAATTCTCTGGAGGTGAGGTCTGGAGCTCTGTGGTTTTAACAATTCCCTGGGTAATTTTATTACTCTACATTTGAGAACCTCTAGGCTAAACCCCAGATTAAACTACAAATGTGTTCTCTAGGAATGCCATAGAGTAAATAAAGAAACCAATTTTACAAGACAGAACTCTCTAAGTTCTTGGGAGAATTCAACATTTTTTGCTTGTTAGAATCCTAGTTCTATGGGAATCACACTAGCTTATCTTCTGAGATTGTCACCCACAATGCCAGGTTCTGTAGTTAAAGTCTACTGCAAAGGTTATGGAAGACAAAGATTAGCTATTTCTGTATCAGCTGACTCAGAGATCTAATCTCCAGAACTG